CGTAACAATATTAAATAAAATGAATTTAAGAATTGAAATCTTATTAAAATAATGCATAAAAAAATAGACAAATGTTATTTAATAAATTCAAAATATACTCAAATTAAGAAGTGGATATTTGTGATATATTTAATAACAGTATACACTGTAGGAACGCAATAGTTAAATACGGGTCATTCTTTTACACATCGAACGGATGTGGCAAAAAATCAGACTCCGATATAACTGAAATTTTTTATTTTTATATTTTTTTATGAGCTCCTTTCATAAAATAAGAAGACCCGTAATCTCAAGAAAAAATTTTGAAATATTTTTTTCGTAGGATATATGGGTTCAATAGGTTCTCGGCAATTAGCATTATAAGCATGCTTTTAAACTGTCATATATCAGACGCAATAAATGATGAAAAGTTAAAATTTGTTACGTTTTAAAGATAATTGTTTAATGTTTATGAAATAGTTTAAACAATTAATATTATTTATATTTAAGTACTAATATTAATAATTACATTTCAAAACAAAAATTTTACAAATGTATCCCGATAATTTTCATTTTTTATATTTTATTTGGATTAAATATTAAGTTTGTAAGGCCCAAATTATACAGTAAAATTTAACCCCACAAATTAAATTGATAGTTACATTAAGCGAATTTTTTTTTTAAAACATATTAAATATTAAATTAAATTTTTAATTAGATTAATGATCCTGTAAAGTTTATATTTTGTTATTTTTTATTAATGTTTTTATTAAAACAAATATTTTTTTTATAAACGGATGACCTTGTAATTTAAAATAGGGTTTGATTAGTTTTTTGCCGGTAATTAAAGGTAGGTAAATTTGTTGCAACTATTTCTCTTGTTTGTCTGCATAAACGAATTTAAGAAAAATATTACGCACGTATTTTTTATGTGATGCAGTTATTTTTATTACATTTGAGTGCAATACGCACAACAATAAGAAATTTGTTTTGACAAATTTATGGGACTTTGTTTACTCGAAAATATTTTTGTTTTTGCCTGCAATGGAAGAAATTTCAAATAAAAGGGCAGCAAAGTTGTCAAATGGTTTGGAATTTCTCCTATTACAGGTAAGTAACTCTTTTTGTTAGGGACAACAGTGGGAGTTCAGACTAATTGGTCTAGGCACATATTGGTACGTTTGGCCATTGCTGAAGATCACCATGTGAATAGGTGAACTGGTTTGGGTGAAGTGATGGTGGTTGAATTACCTTCTGATTGGCTTTTACTGACGTAGGGTAATTTAACTAGTTGACCAGGCTTCCATTTGGCCATAGCTGATAGAAGAATGGATGACGAGTCACGAACACTGTTAGAAGGCGTGTGGATCTACGAGCGTTTGGCAATTGCTGACAAATGTGGCAAGTTTTCGCATTGGAAAGGGAATTTTGTCTGGCTTTAGCTGACAAGGATGTAATTGAATGGAGGCTTTTTGAAATTTCTCCTGTTATAGATAGCTATTTGGAATATCTCCTGTTACAGGTTTTTTTTACACCACTGATCACAACGATTCTAACGCTTCGCAACGATTGCAACGCTTCAAACGATTGTAATACTACAACGATTTCTATGGTTGCAACGATTGCAACGCATACAACGCTTCTAACGATTGTAATACTACAACGATTTCTACGCTCGCAACGATTGCAACGCATACAACGCTTACGCATTTGACATTACTTTATTGACTTTGGAATTTCTGCTGTTTAAAACATTTCCAACACAACTTCCAGAACTTCATTGTATCTCTCTTTTTTTGTTAAACAATAAACGCTGCTACAAACAGAAGTGCCTCTTTATATTTTTTTAAATAAATTTCTTATAACGAATCCTGGTATACTCGCTGAGTATACCCCAGCTATAGAAAGGGCCGGAAAAGGTCGTTAAATTTTTACGGGAAATTTGTTCCGAAGATGCGCGAGTTTAGAGGACCACTTGATAATTTACTTAAGTTAAATGTAAAATGGAAATGGGACGCGATACATCAGAAGTGTTTCCATCATTTTAAAGCTATAATGTCATCAAATTTATTATTATGCCATTATGATCCAAATCAGAAGTTAATTGTAGCTGCCGACGCATCAAACTATGGGTTAGGCGCATGCATCATGCATGAATATTCAGATGGATCCATTAAACCTATTTGCCATGCTTCACGTTCTCTCACTCCGGCTGAACAAAAATAAAGCCAGATAGAAAAAGAAGGACTTGCACTCATATTTGCAGTTACCAAATTTCATAAAATGTTGTATGGAAGAAGATTTATATTGCATACCGACCATAAGCCTTTACTGACTATTTTCGGTAGAAAAACAGGCATTGCTATACATCAAGCTAATCGTCTTCAAAGATGGGCAATTCAGCTTTTAGCATACGATTTTGAAATAAGATTCATTTCAACAAACAGTTTTGGTTATGCAGATGTATTATCTCGACTTAAAAACAACAACGAAAATATTTCTGAAAATTACGTTGTAGCATCAGTCAAATTAGAAAGAAATGTCAATTCAATTATAAGTAACACCATAAATACTTTACCAGTAACACATAAAATGATCACATATGAAACAGCAAAAGATCCAATTCTAAAACAAATAATATATTATATTACAAATGGTTGGCCTAACAAAACAATGAATAATAGAGAATTACAAGCATTTTTACACAGGAAAAATAAGTTATCATTAATAAATGAATGTGTTGTGTACGGTAAACGTATTGTTATTCCACAAGTCTACAAAAAACGTGTACTTAAACAATTACATCGTGGTCATCCAGGTATTGAGCGTACCTAGGCATTAGCACGAAGTTTTGTATATTGGTCAAACATTGATGCTGATATAAAAACATTTATTCAAAACTGCAAACAATGTTCAAATGCAGCAAAGATGCCTACGAAAACATTACTTCATTCTTGGCCCACACCAAGCGAACAGTGGGAGCGGGTGCATATAGTCACATATTGACATATCGACATTGACTTCTAATCGGGTGCCAAGAACTTTAGAGCGATCTTACATGTGATTTCTACAGCGATTATGCATGAGAGATCTCGCAGCTTCTCGCTCTCACGACCGCTGAATAAGTGTAAAGCACATGTAAGGTTAGCTTTAAGAAACTTTGAGCTTTGCTTTAATGTTCGGAATGGTATAAAATTAAAATTATAAAACTATATGCTCTCAGTTAAATTGTTCACTAGTTTAGATTTGGTTTAAGAAAACATTTTCTTGGATTGTTGAAAATAAAATTAAAATACAAAACTATATGTATATTGAAAATTATTATTAATTTGTTGTTGAAAACATTTCTTAAATTATTTAAAAATAAAATTAAAATACAAAACTGGCGACGAGGATAAAAATAAAATTTTTTTTCGATTGCTTTAAGAAAAGCAAAACGAATAGAAGTTTTGACTTCAAATTTTTTTAAATTCGAATCTCGGCGATATTTCAATTAAAGAAAAAAAATTATGCAATTTGAATGTTAATAACTGTATGAAACATTAATTAATTGTCTAATAAAAAGTTAGTAAAAAAAAAACGAAACAATAAAAACAACAAGTTGAAAAGAACTCGAATATTTTATAAAAAGAAAATATAACAGAACAAATTTTGTTTGCGAGTGTGAAGTCGTGTTGGTTAAAAACGAGTTTCTTTCTAGAAATAAAATATCATTCAAGGTTAAAATAAATTGCAATTACTGGGAATATTATCTTATTAAAAACAAAAACAAAATTTTAAAACAATTTTTTTCCAATTTATACAAAAAAAAAAAAAAGCACTAAAACAAGATTTCTAGAGCAGCAAATCAAAAATTTAAAACAATTATTTTTTATTCTGAACATACAAAACACATATTATATATAAAAAATAATATTTGATTAAAGAAAAGTGTCTTATAAAATACAAAAAAAAAACAAAAAAAAAAAAAAAAAAAA